TATATATATATATATATTTATTTATTTATACTATATAAACCCTTAAAATAAGAAAAACTGAAATGAAATGAAATAAAAATAAGAAACAACAAAATGTGTTTTTCTGCAATTTAAAATCTTTAATTAGTTTATCCTAATTAAACTAATTTATAGAAGTTATTTATATAATTTTTTTATTTATTTTGTAAAAAGTATTTACGGATAAACTTAATCACTAGCCAGTTTGCTTTGCCCACTAATGTTATTTTAATTAAATCAAATCCTGATTGGATGTTACATTTGTATATTATTACAATTACTATTTAGAGATGCAATATTTATTACGAAAATGATAAATACAAATAAACACTCCAACTTGTTCAATATTTTTTAACTTCTTTCGGCTTTCCTCTTGAAGTTCTCCACTGGATTCATTATTTGTCTGAGTTAAACACGTTTTCTTATCCTTGTTTCAGCAATGGAACTGGCTCTCTCGTTAGAGAAGCTAACGAACGAAAAGCTCCTTCAGTTGCACAGTGTAAGCCGCCTTTTATTGGATCTTAGTTCTGGTTTTGCTGTTTTCTTTCATTTGTCTTGTTTATGTTGATAATGATTAGTTAAAATGGAAGTCCCTTTTAACTTGATCCATGTTTTGGCAGGTTGCCACGAAGAACGGTGATGTGCAGTTGGCAGACTTTGTCGAAAGCGAATTTCTGGCTGAACAGGTATAAATGCAATGTAATTTGGTGTTGCAACTATTTTTCTAGAGTGCGATATTGTACATATTTATTTTTGTTTTATGCATTGCATTTGGCAAAATAAGTCTAATCCGTCGTTTCTTTCTTAGGTGGAATCCATCAAAAGAATATCTGAGTATGTTGCTCAGCTCAGAAGAGTTGGCAAAGGACATGGTAAGAATTTCAAACTCTGGTGTTTGCATTATTTTTCCCTGTTTTTTTTTTCCATGATCAGAAAAAGGTATCTTTATATCTTATTTGTTTTCCTTGATGAACTTTCAGGTGTGTGGCACTTTGATCAGATGCTCCTCCATGAGGGAGGACTTGCAGCTTGATAGTTACTGTTTCCCCTTTTCTATCTATTATGTGTATCTTTCTCATCTAGGTGAAGTTTGAGTCTTGTGCTAGGGAAGGAGAAACTGAAACTACGGATGAATAAAATAAATGATATCTGTTTTGAACACATCCATGTTTTGTAGTTTATTCACTATTTGATCAGGGGACAATATGCTCCCAATGTGCGATTAAATTGTCTCAATTTCTATATCACGTTAGAAGTGGATGTCCAATCCTACTAAAATCACTTGGGAAATCAGCTATTAATTTATTTCTTTCTCCTATTATATTTCTTTCTGCATTCCATCCAAATTGTAAATTGTCAAAAATGACTTTTACCTAAAACCCTAGAGAACGGTTCTTCCTTCACTGTGCATCCCATGCAGCTTTTCTTGTTCTTCTTTCAGCCGTTGTGTGCATCTCATCAAGCGTTTCTTCCTTCACCAACACAACTTTTTTTATCGGAAAGGACCATCGAGGCAGGTTGGTTAGTTATTGTTTTCTTTACCCAAACAAGCATCAATTTCTTCTTCCCTGTCAGTGTGACCTTTAACCTTGTGCTTGCAGAAAACTATGAACATCCATCCATTCAATATCACTTGATCTTATCTGAAAAAAATAAATGTCAAACATTCAAACAATGCTTACCCAGAAATCCAATTATTAAAAACAAAAAGAGAAAGGAAACTTGAATTTATAATTCTGGAAGTTTCATATTGCATTACAGATAACGAATTCCGAAACAGCAACTTTCCACTAGGCCGAAAAAACATGCAGCTTTCCGGAATTACCTTTCTGGACACCTCCTTAAACCTATTCTGGAATCACCTTTCCGGAATATATCTTTCACAGAATTCATTTTTCAAATACTTTCTAAGGCACTTTCGAATTTATCATTCAAGAATAATATTTTTTTATTTTGGAAATAATATTCAGAATGCATTTCTCACCTTCCCAATTATTTCAGATTACTGTAATATATTTCCGGTTAACACATACAACACCCCACTAAACACCCCATAGTACAATATTACCTTTCACTTCTTACAACCCTTTTTAAATCACCAACACCAATCCTTGCTACAGCACCTAAGGAACAAAAGCAGAATTAAACAAAATGATATAGTGCAACAAGAAAATGATATAGGATGGAGGCCGAACTTTATTATGAAAAGTTTTACATAAGTTTTTTCAGTTTTGTACACCTTTCCAACACCAATTAAAAAATAACATTTTTATTTTTTAATTGATTTGTCTACCAATCATTCAACTCATGTCGAGTGAGTGAGGTGGCAAAGAGAGTGAATGAGGTGGCAAAGAGAATGAAAAGAGGTTTTTATCCTAACCCTTTGGGTCGTGAAGGGAAGATTAATCCAATGAGAAAGTAGGTCGAGTTATCCTTGTTTATGACTCTGCAGAGTATAAATATTATCATGGATGTAAACCTTCAGCAATGTCTATGTCATTATCAGATCCGGATCATTGAGTGGAGAGATTAAATTTTGATATGATCATGTGGTTGATGGATTGTTATGAATGTTGAACTATGATTTCGTTGTATATTAGCTTATCCTTGCTTTTGTGTTTGTTGTTTTTGTGTGTACTTGTTTTTTCTTTTGCAATGATAACTTTAATGGTGAGTTTAGGGAATATCTCTCATGAGTAGGTGTTAGGAAGAGGTAGAACTGAGGTATAGATGTGAATATCCTGTTATAGTTTTTGTTTAGTGTAATATCTAATAATAGTATAAGTTTTAGTATATGTTTTACTATTATAAATTATTTTTGAATTATTTGTAATAACATCTTATATATTTTTTATGAGTTAACTATTTATTATTGTTTGTAACTAATCTTATGGTAGTTCAAATGTTAAAATAAATTGGGATGTTACACATTAAAAATAATTGTAATATCATATTTTATTTGTTATCTATTTTTTATAAAAAAATTATTTAATTATTTTATTTGTTGTATTTTTGTATGACAATTATTTAATTAATATTTACAATAGTAAATAAGAAATACAAGTACATTTGTTTCTTCGATGGAGATATAGATGTGAAAGAAATTTCAAATACATTACCTCTTAGGTTGGATATAAACTTTTTTTTAATTGAGGATGTGATAGGTAAACTTTTACCGTCCTATTCTCATTCCTATTTCATATATTATACAAATGATTATTTTTTTCCTTTATGTTAATAATTATTTGTTCTATTTAGTTAACCACTTTTAATAAATATTTTTAAAGCAATTAGCATACATTTTAATCACAATATAAAAATAAAATTATTAAAAAAATACTTAATAAAAAATTATACATAATAAATATTATTATTATCTTTAATGTCAATAATGATACAAATATTGTTTAAATTATAAATCATATAAATATTTCATTACTAACTGATAGTTTATTGAGAAGATTTATTAAGAGATTTTATATAATGTTTAATTTTATCATTTGTATCATTATTGATGTGACTATGATGACCTATTTTTTCTGTGCATTTGAAAATACTTATTCTTTGTTTATTAAGGTTTTTATCTTCATTTTATTCATGTATAATATATATATATATATATATATATATATATATATGAAACTGACTATAAATAATTAAACATCTATAATGATCTAAAATAAAAACTAAAATTAAAAACTGTTACGGAGTATAGATATTTGAAACAAATTCTTAAACGAAAATTACTATACCGAAAAAGGAACTTAAAATACTTTAAAGTTATTGATGTTGTATCAATAATTAATAAAATTAAGTCATAAATCCATTTTAAATACATTTTGCTTTAACTATAGTGCAAGATTCATTTAATATAGCATGCTAATACTCAATACCACAATATTCTGCCTAGTTAAAATTGGTTCAACGATTTTGTGCAACCAGAAACAAAGAAAAATACTAAGGAATGAAACGATGGCACCATGAATATAACACAGCCACAATAAAGTTGTATAGTGCAAGAGTCAAAATTCAACGATAAAAATCTCTTGGACAAAAGAAATTGAAACCAAAAACATTGAATTAAACTACGAAACACTCAAAAGTCTATTAATTCAGAAGGGGATTACTCAAGCGGCAGTTGCTTGCTGAGCGGTAATCCTTTTTCTAGCTTCCTCAATGATGGATAGCTTAATACCCTTACCCTTGGGAAGTGATACCCATGGCTTTGTCCCCTTGCCAATGGTGAACACGTTTCCCAAACGAGTAGCAAATTCATGTCCAGTGGCGTCCTGAACGTGAATTGTCTCAAAGCTACCCTTATGCTTCTCCCTGTTCTTAATAACTCCAACACGACCCCTGTTTCTTCCTCCAGTAACCATAACAACATTCCCGACATCAAATTTGATAAAATCAACGATCTTGTTTTCCTCAAGATCCAGCTTAATGGTGTCATTAGCTCTGATGACAGGATCTGGGTAACGGATGGTACGACCATCATAAGTGTTCAGGTATGGAATACCTTTCTGGCCAAATTGCACTGACCTAACCTTGCAGAGCTTGAACTGTCACATACACAAAAACAAACACATTAAACTAACTAAGCAAGTTCAAAAGTTGACATTTAATGGTTCATTAGCCTCCAAATTCCTTAGCCTGCATATACAACACCGCAACACAGTAAAGCCAGTCTTCTATATTATTAATTACTTTTATGTTAACAGTATAATGGCGAAAAGGTTAGTAATGAATAAAAAATATTCTATATAACCATAATAAGTACCTCAAAAGTAAAATGGTAAAATAAGAGTATATAAAGTACCTTTGCCTCATCATCCCTGATAGAATGAAGACGGAAACGACCTTTGGTATCATAGAGCAGGCGGAAGTTCTCGTTTGTTTTTGGGATGGATACAACATCTGCAAAGAGAAATAAAATTTCAATGAAATTATGGCTCTAGCTAAAACAATGGAATTACACTGCAAATGACAAACACATGGCCCAGTGGATGGACCGGCTGGAGAGAACCAGCTACAAGCCTCTTGGACTAATTTGATCATCAAATTCAAGCTCAAGGTTTACCATAATAAAATCATATAACATGACGACTCAAGAAACACCTGGTAAACATTTACAATTTACGACTCATACATATAGTCTGGGTATAGTGAGTAAATATCAAATTCAAACATCAATAACACGGCCATAAACAATAGCATATTATTAACCCCTACACCTTCAACCCTAAAATACAATACCGCATAAATTGTGCCTTATAAAATCATTCAAAAAGTTATTCTACAAAATAACGAGCCACAAACGTACCCATGAAACCAGAAGGGTATGTCTTGTCTGTCCTGACTTTGCCATCGACAAGAACATGTCGTTGCATCAGAATAGCAATGACCTCACGGTAGGTCAGTGCATACTTCAACCGGTTTCGCAGGATGAGTATGAGGGGAAGGCACTCCCTCGATTTGTGGGGTCCAGATGAGGGTTTGGGCGCCTGTGCAGGAGAAAAAGAGTACACGTTAGTCACTAAAAATAATTCCCTTAAAAATGATCAAACGACGAAAAAACTTTCACTTACAAATGCACCACCCAGTTTGTCAAGCATCCAATGCTTAGGAGCATTGAGCCTCTTCAAATGTTTCTTCAATCCCCTAGCCTGTAACAGTCACAAACACCAAAAAAATATCAAAACACAATCTAAAAAGAGAGATTCAAACAACAAAACCTAAATTTAATAAATAAAACTTAGGTTATACCAATGGATCCTAAAAAAAATATCATATTAAAACCCTATCTCCCTCCGTTGATTTTTGATAAATAAAATGCAACACAGAGTAAAATCTAAAAGACTCGGTGTTCAGAATTCAAAGACATAACCAATGATTAAAAACACTATACGCGCCATTTCGTTTAATGAAGATTCAAACCGAACAGAAAACGTAGAAAAATATGAAACAGATCGAAACCTAATATGAAGATGAAAATGAGAATGTATCAAAATCATAATCAAGAGCAGAAAGAAGATACGAACCATTTTGGAATCGCAGAGGAAACTAGTGCTCCACTCCTACGGCACTGAACAAACTCAACGCGCTGCGCACTTATGAAGAGGGTTTTTCATCAAACCCTAATTTGTGTTGGAGTTCTGGACCATGGGCCAATATTATTATTTTTTTAGTTTTCAACCCAGGCTTGAGGCCCATTAAAATTTTGGCCCATATTCAATAATAACTCTTTTTATAATAGTCAGTTTTTTTATGTTATGATTTAGAGATTTTAAAAATACGTATATACGCCGTATTTGTCTGGATAAAAAATTATAAGAATAAAAATAATAATAATTGTTTAAACTAATATTAGTCTTTACAAAAGATTTCATAAATTAATCTATGTATTTATTAAAATAAAAATTTCATTCTAGATTAACCTAAAATTTTATCTATCATCAAATTTTAATTGATAATTATAAGATGTGTTTTTATTGTTAAAGTTTAAGATAACGTAATTATATCAGTTTTTTTTTTTTGCCACACAGTACAATTTAGCTTTATTATTTTATTTTATATCAGGAACACATATGTTTATTTACTTTTCTTTAAGATAATAAAAACTAATAAAATTATTATTATTGTTATTACTAATTATAAAATTAAATATAATTAATTTATATATTTTTTGTATGCAATTTTTAAGTATAAAAATCATTAACTTTAAATAAAAATGATCAAATCAAAAAAATAATTAAATTTAAAAAAACAAGTAAAACAAATAAAATAATTATTTTAATTTTAAGAAGTATTTATTTAAAGATAGCATTAGAAAACAAATATAGATACTAAAAAAATCCTTTATAATATACTAGTCTAAGCTCAAGTGTTATTGTGTCTATGTATATTTTATTTACCTATTAATTATTTAAATTTTTAAAAGTAGTAATTATGAGTATAAAATTGAAAAAAATATGAATATATATATAGATATTTGAGATTGAAATTCTAAAATAATTTTTGAGGACTGGAAAGATCCCTTTCACAATCATTCTATGTATAATAAAGTGTTGATACAAAGTACATGATAAATAGGGTAACCCTAGACACAAGTATAATGATGATAAATAGGGTAAATATTCTAACACTCCCCCAAGCTGGAGCATACAAATTGTATATATCAAGCTTTGAATAAATAAACTCAATTTGAGGACCTCCTTAATGACTTAGTCAACACATCTGCGAGTTGATCGTTTGAACCAACAAACTCAATACATATTTCTTTAGTCAACAACTTTTTACAAACAAAATGACAATCAATTTCTATATGTTTAGTCCTCTCGTGGAATACTGGATTTGACCTGCAATGTGGAGAGTAGCTTGATTATCACAATATATCTTCATAGTATGGATGTCACAAAAGTTAAGCTCTTGAAGGAATTGTTTCACTCATATAAGTTCACATGTTACTGACACCATCGCCCTATACTTGACTTCAGCAGTTGATCGAGCTACTACATTCTACTTCTTACTTTTCCATGAAATAAGCTTTCCTCCCAGAAAACACAATATCTTTTAGTAGTGTGTCTATCAATAGGCAAACCTACCTAATCTACATTACAATATCCAGAAACTTGAATGCTTCTTTTATCTTCATATAACAATCTTTGCCCGATTGTCTTTTTGACATACCTTAAAATGAGAACGAGAGCATTCCAATGGTCAACACATGGAGCCTACTTGAATTAATTAACCACTCCAACTAAAAAGGACATATATAGCCTTGTAATAGTGGGATAAATCAATTTTGCAACTAGCCTCCTATACCTCTATGGATCGGAGAATAATTCACCTTCTTTTGTCCTTAATTTCTGGTTTAAGTCCATCAGACTGTCTACCGGTCTGCAATCAATCATGTTTGTTTCTTGTAATATATCAAGAGCATACTTCCCTTAGGAGATTACAACTCCAATCTTTTGATTGCGCTACTTTAATGTTGAAGAAGTATTTGAGACTTCCAAGATCCTTGGTTTGAAAATATCTACACAAGTACTCTTTCAGTTGAGATATTCCAACAACATAATTTCCTGTAATGACAATATCATCAACATATACTATTAAGTAAACACATTTCCCAAGAAAAGAATGTTAGTAAAAAACCGAATGGTCTGCTTCACTACATTTTAGCCCAAATTCTTGAGCACTGGAGCTAAACTTTTCAAACTAAGCACGTGGTAATTGCTTGAGGCTATATAGAGATCGATGCAATTGGCATACCGTACCAGACTCCCTCTGAGCAACATACCTAGGAGGTTGCTCCATGTAAACTTCTTCCTCAATATCACCATGTAGAAAGGCATTCTTGATATCCAATTGATGAAGTGGCCAATAACGAATGACAACCATGGCAAAGAAGAGACGAATATTAGTCATTTTGGCTACATGAGAGAAAGTGTCACAATAATCAAGACCATAAACATGAATGTAACCTTTTGAAACAAGTCGAGCTTTGAGGCGATCCATTTAACCATCAGGACCGACTTTAACTACATACACCCATTTTCAATCAACCACTTTTTTTTCCCGGGAGAAGGCACGAACGACCAATTATGACTATGGTCAAGAACATGCATTTCTACAATCAAAAAGACAATTAGGGACAAAGTTTAGATTGAGGAAGGGAGACAAGGAAACATGACTGACTCATTTTGAGGAAGTTTTTAAAGTCATTTGAAAGGGTTATGAAATGAGGTTTTTCTCGAAAGGAAATAGATGATAACAAAGAAGTATTATCAGAAATGTGATCAGAAGCACTTGAGTTAATTATCCATGAATTTTGACCTTCCATGGACTGAGAAATGTAGGTTTTATACTAGGAGATTGAGATGGTTGTGCCAAGCTATTAGACTTTTACCTTAGATACTCTTGATATTCATCCTCGGTGAACTTAGAAGTGGAAGATTCAGTATTCAAAATATTGACGATTTTGGAAGGGAAACCATGTAAGGAATAACAATTCTATTGAGTGTGAGCCATCCTTTTAAAGTATATGCATTGAGGATGTTCGCGACCTCCTTATCCTCCTCCTCTAGTGCCACATTTTCATCTTCCACATGTGACAACCATGACAGATGGTTCCACTAGTTCATGTGCTTCATGAGTTTGAGGTGTTGGGACACACAAAAGGCGAGTGATCAATGTTTCCATAAATGGGACGTCATGACTGGTTAGAAGTTGATCTCTGAGATGATTAAAATTGTGATGTAGGGCACGAAGGATCAAAACATTTGTAATATTTGTCTAGTTTCTTCTTGATATCTTCTAATGAGTCCACTTCAAAAAACATCTTGAGTTCTTCGGCAGCAAATTAGGCTTCATCCATGAAGAACACCATATCATGTTTGTTGTGTCATAGAGACATTGAATATCGTTGACATAAATACTTTGAGCTTTCTTCCAAAAGGAGTGACAAGTTTTGAAAGCTCTTAGAGATATAAGAAGTTTGGATTCCACATATTGCCATAATAGAACACACAACTGAAAATTGGTTGTTTCCACTGGCCAGGTTTATTAACTCGTATATGGCCTCCATCTCGCTCAAGGTGATCATAATGACCTTGACCAAGAAACCACATCTCAACGACAGCCGACCAAGATAAGTAATTTTTCCATTTAACTTTTCAGATGTGATGGACTGACTTCCGAAAAAAGAGATGGCACTGCCATAAGCCATTTCGGATCAAGGGATAACGAATCCGAAGGAGAAACTGCAAACCCTAGGTGACTATCGAAAGGGTTTCCTCCGGACGTGAACAGAACACGACTCGAAGGGGTAGAATGGAGAGTGGAGAGGCTAGCGACCGCTATGGAGGTGGCGCGGTGGTGTTTTGACAAGTAGACGGCGGCACGTGAGCAATACACGCATGTTTGCGACGCACAAAGATGTTACGCGTGGCGACACGTGGAGGAGAATGGAGTTCCAACACCGGTGGGATTGGTTGTCACGTGGTGAGGCGAACTAGATCTGGTGGTCACCGGACGAAACTATGACTATGGCCAGCGGCGGACAGTGGCGAACGACATCAGAATGGGAAGGAACAGAGGTTTATGGTGACAAACTTTAGTGGACAACTTCTCACATTAGCAAAATAGTGCCAGATAATGATGGACAACGACAAACGGTGCAGGACGGTCGCAAACGATGCCAGATAGTTGCAGACAACCACTAGGGTTTGGAGACTAGACTAAAACCAGAGTGAGATTTACCCGCTCTGATACCAACTTAAAATTGAAACTGTAAAAATAATTCTTGAGGGCTTGAAAAATTCCTCTCACCCTTCTTCTATATATAAGAAAGTTTTTATACATAAATAGAATAATCTTAGATAATGATGATAAATAGGATAACTCTATATACCGTTCAATTTCAATAATGATAAATAGGATAAATATTCTAACATAGATAAAATAAAGGTTAACATTATAATAAAAAATAATATAAGTAATACTGTGTAGATAATTTTTTTATTATAGTAATTATTTAATTGTTTTTTAAAAGTAACTAATGATAAAATATAAAAGAATAAATAATTATTTTATAATAAGTATGATTTAAATTAAAAAAGAAATAGTTACTAAATATAGTTATAACGGGTAACTATAATGAATTATCTAAAATTGATTCGTCAAAAGAAAATTCCTTTTTGTCACTGCTCAACTAAGCCAGCAGACAAAAGAACTCAACTAAACTATTATAAAACATTATGTAAATAAAAAGCTAATTAATATTTTATCATACTACTTTTTGTTTATATATTTAAATTATAAAGACTGTTAATGTAAAATTTATGTATATGGAAACAATTTTTTAGTAACTAAAATAATTTTAGGATGTCAAAATTTTTTTATTTGTCATTTAATTCATCTTAAAATATAAATAAACTTGTTTTTATTTATATTATTTGAACTTTTCTATATTTTTTATTTTTACGAGTTTTCACATTTACAGTATATGAATACAAATATAAGAAATATATGATTTTTTAAATTAAACGTGGATACGAACATTTACATAAATGACAGTCCCAAGGCCATTCACGTTATTATATCTATATTCGTCTTTATTTTTTCTTCTCCTTCAAACTATTGAAGTATTTAAGCTTAAAAATAGCAAGCCG